AATACACAGGAGATTTTGAAACTTTTCCTTCAACTGGTAACCAGACCCATCAAGAAGAAACAAAATGTCTCTAACTGATTTTATGAAAGTTTCTATGATGACTTTGGCCATGAACATTTTAGGAGGAAAAATACTAATGTAAAAAAAATATTTTAAGTGAAATTATTTTTCTTTACATTGTAGATTTTCACTAAGATCAAACTGCTCATAGCAGTGTGATAACAAACTGCTCATAACCTGTATGGTAACAGGTTATTTTAGTATATCAGTTTTAAGTTTTTAAACAATATTTTATAAGTCATAACGACAAATACCTTTCATGCAAAATTAACCCTGCGGTTCTTCCACTAGTGTTCATCTTCCTTCATCCCCTTGAGCTCATGGGTAAAAGAACCACTGCAAGCAGCAGGATATAAAAACTATTAAGAGTCTTCCAAGTATGTTACTGTACTCATTCAACGTTCTGGACAACAGTTTTATTTATTTTGGATTTTCAAAATTTTGCTTTAGTCTCAAATAGTTGTTGTACTCTAAATATTAAATATCCCTGTAGAAGTGTATGGTTGTTAGAGTCCATTCTGTAATTTTTGATCTTCCTAGACAAATCCTGCACTGACTTAACAGTTTAAATCCTCTGATGGAGCCATGCTATGACATGTTATTACTGCCTATGGCTTTCTGACTAGGGATGTCCAGCCTATTCAGCCAGCTAGTGACATCTGGGTATGTGATGAATATTATAATATTACAAATTCATCTTAAATGTGTGCAACAGGCGGTGGGCATTCATGGAATGACATCAATAAATGCATACATGCCATGAAAGCTTCACAAAACTACCTGCATCTTGCTATTATTCAACAATGTGTCATAAATTATTGTTTTAAGGAGACATCTATTACAGTAAATCCTCTGTTAAGATATCTCTGTTGTTTTCAGATCTGAAAACAGGAAAAAATAAAACAGTTGCTGAATACTGAGACGCTGGTACACTGTGAGCTGTTAGAATTTGTGACAAAGTAGACCAATGCTACATTTCTAGCATATTAAAAAATCCCTACTAAAATTATTTTAGACTGGCTGAACAAGATACACAAGATTAAGCCTGGGACTCCAAATGCCAAGATTTAATTAATGTGAATATCCCCTCTCTTCTTTTCTTCTGTTGGATGAAAGTAAGAGGACGAAAGAATTATTTTCATTGTTTTACGAGGAGCCCTGTCAGATATGCAGTAAAACACAGGAGAAAACTCTCTTGGTTTCTGTCTAAGTAACTGTTATAAAACCCCACGATAATATTACAGCTTTGTAATGGTCACAATAAGAAAAGACATTTTTGCATTCTTATTGTCATAATTCATAGAATTGTATGGATTGACTGCATGCAAAGGCTTTACAGGTCCACTGAAGTTGGAACTGAGCCCTGTTTTATTGACAGAAACTTCATGAGATACTTCAGTCACAGCACTGAAGATCAAGGGGACAAATTCCCCTGAGCCCTTAAATTCAGGACCCTGCCAGTGTGTTCATTGAGATCTATTTGCTAGTGCTTTGATCCAGGCTAAGCACCTCAGATGTAAGGCTGCGGAAATGGATCAAGATACAATGAAACTGGGTCTTAGTGAAAAAGCGGTGATTTTCCACATTGCTTTAATCAGTGACACCAAAGATGATCTGCCTATGGAAGAAATGCTGATTAAACCACATATTTCCAAACCATTTTATTAAAAAAAATAGTAGTTACAGCTTCCTTTTTGACCTAATTCCTTTTATTGTTCAACACTTCAGCACTTTTTGAAACAGTCATCCATTGTATACTTGTCACATCTTTTGTAAAGTGCAACATTTTTTTAAAAAGGAAAAAATACTGACTTTCATCCGTTTTCATAAGCCATTTATCACATTCAAAATTGTAAAAATCTTCAGAGGTTCAAAAAAGAAACAGTAGGCTTTAATCTAAATGCTCTCTATTTACATTATGGTTCTAAAATATGACTGGAAATAGTTTTGGGAAAAGATTTTGCACTTCATACAGTCAAGCTTGATGAAAACAAACCTGAAGGATAGGAGGGTATGCATAATACTGTAGAAAGCTCTCAGGTCTTTGCAACTCCTTTCTGAAAGTCATTGCTAGGCAATGTCAGTACCAAACCTCAGAGTAACACATGAATTCATAAAATCTTACCAAGTCCGGAGCACTCTCACAGTGTTAGGCAAGATCCATTCCCCTTAAAACTCAACTTACACTAACAAAACTGTACTTTCAGTTTCTGCTATGAACTCTACCAACAAGAAGCCATTCTCTTAGTTATTAGTCAAGCGTATTTTTGCTACCTGTGCCAGTCTAACTTGAACGAGATTGCCTGTGAAAACAAAATTTGCATTTCTTGCCTAAATGTTGGCTGACACAAGTGATGAATTGCATTATGTTTGTGGCAGGAATATTCTACATTTTGATCCCTCGATAAAGCCTTCAACTGGACCACAAACTAGCTTTACACATACAGATACACTGACTGCTGCGCCTGATAAATGTGACTGTATCTAGAGAAAACAGACTCAACACACCTCTCTCGTGGATTTTTAGCTTTCTGAGGAAAGGGGAAAAATGCTTTAAAGACTGAGTGGAAGACAAAGGGCATACTACTACTGAGAAGTAGCGTGAGGCTTAATTTGCTAACTGATTATAACTTCTAGCAACAATCTGATGAACAATTTCCAAGTGCATTAAAGTAATTACATAAAACATTGAAATAATTGTATTACTGTTAAAACTCTCAGCAACATCAAAACCCCACTAAGTATCGTGAAAAACAAGTGAAGGAAACCTTCCACCCACCAACAAAATTTCCACCCCCTCCAGCAATGCCGTTTCTGAAGGCTAATATCCAGGAAAACCCGAAAGTAGGGGCAAGAATTAAAATATGTCTGAAACTGGAAGCAAAATGTGTTGGAAAGGTGTTTCAAAATT